ATTGTAACTTTAATTTTCTGTTGTGAATGCTTGAGAAATTGAGGAGATTGTGAATTTATATATGCTTGAGAAGTTGAGGTTGTGTATTTATTTATTTAGGTTGTGAATTTATATTTTTGTGAATGCTTGAGAACTTGCGGTTTTAAACCGCAAAAAGCGGTTGGTTTGCGGTTTCAAAAATCACCATACCGCAAATAGTCGGTCGGTTTGCAGTTTGGGCAAAAATTCGCAGTTACCGAACCGCAACCACCCTTAATGTATATGTTGCCTCGGTTTTGATGACAATGTATGTTAAATGTGGTGACCTTGTGAAGGCAAACCGGGTGTTTAACAAGTTTGCTGCGAAGGATATAGTTATGTGGAACTCAATGATCACCGGTTATGCCCATCATCGTTTAGGAGAGAGCAGTGGCTGATCCAGGATTCTTGGTCCAAAGGGTTATTGTTTGGGCCAAAAGAAATCCAAAAGCACCAGCCTATCCTCGCAAAGAAAGGCCAAGGAAAACATAAAGGAACAAAAGATTGGGCTTCAAAAGGGGAAGCCCAATCCACGTCAGAAACCCATTTTTTCGAATAGGGCAGAGTTGTAAAAATGCCAAATTTAATGGCGGTTACAAATAGGCAGATCGACGAAAAGAATTTAATTGGGCCCAGTCTCTAAAAAACCTACCATTTCTCCCGAAAAGCCCAGGAACACTTTGGCAGATTTTTTATGGAAAAACCTATTCACAAGGAAGTCCACGTGACTACCTGACTTTGAAAAGTCAACAATTTCAACTACTCACAAAGGAATTTGACAAGGAATTAGTAAAAGCACTCTTGTAGGAAGATTTACCTATTCTGTCACAAACAGAGAAGAAGATCAAAATCCTTTTCTATATACAGAAAAATTAGGCAGACATCATTCCCAAGGGATAAGCAGACTACATTTTGGAGATAAGTAGGAAGCAGGGAGTTGTTCAAACTGGGGAATCAAACTAACCATCACAGTTTAAGCTCTTACAAAGAGTAGTTGAATTTGAAGAAGGGTTAGGTTTTCTTTCAAGAAAAATAGGGAAGTGATTGCCTTAGGAACTTACTATTGAGGGCTTATCTGCCAGAATTGATAAACCACTTTTTTCCTTTGCATTTAAAAAGAAAGATCTTTTGAGAAATTTTGCCGCTCATCATTAAAGAATTAGAAGCCTCACTCCAAAAACATTTCTTATAAATATAAGAGAGGGTGAACAGAGCAAAAGACAATCAAACAACCAAAAAAATCAATCAAAGACAAAAACTTGAAATGAGCACTTGATCTCAAAGAACCTTCAAACAAACTGAAGCAACCAAAAGCTCATTGAGCCACAACAAAGAAGCCGGTTATAAATCGAAACTTTCAGCTTCAGACTTAGAGAAAAGTCATTCAAAATGAGATCTCTCTCGTTACAAATTTGGTTCAGCAAAAGCCAAAACAAGCAGAGTCTGGGTTTTTACAAATATGAAAACATCAACAAATTTCTGGAGAGCCCTGACCAAGCAGAACAGGTACCACAGTGTAGTTCCAGCTCAGTAACCCTCAAGTCCAGCCACTTCTGCCCCTTTCAAACTGAAGAGGCCGCAATTCTGCCTATTCAAAAAGCCTTCCAAGGCTTGAAATAGATTAAAGCTCTGCCAAACTCAAACTTTGGTATCAATTTACAGCTGAAGCTTAGCAGTTGAAGTTGTTGGCAGTCCAGTTCAGATAGGCATACCAAGTCCAGCCCGGATAAGAACTTTTATCCAGGCAGAAATGGAAGTCCAGCCTTCCTTTTGTATTTCTAAAGTTGATTTTTTTCTTTTGAGTTTTGTAAAAGGCAGTTCCGCCTGAAAACAGTTTGTTTTCTTACTATTTATTCTGGCCAGCCTGAGGCAAGAAAAGAACTTACTTGGGAGATATTCCTCACCCGAATTCACATTCACTTGTTTAGAAATCAATAGCTTGGGGCGCAAGTTATCTATTTTAGAGTCTAGCAGTGGCAAGCTCGCACACTAAAGAAAATTGACTTGTTGACCAGTCCATGGTTTTCAAGGTAATAGGGACCTTTACCATACCATCACAGGAACAAGCATCAAATGGGTGAATAGTTATAGTGTAATAACATTGAATTTTTTTTTTATTAAAAAAAATAACATTGAAAAGCATAAAGATAGTACATTTATTCAAATCTCCAAAAATTAGGATACAAGTACGACATGTATACAAAAATTCAAATAATATATTTATTAATTTTTATAAATTTTTATTGTACAAACATATGGTTTTGGCCTAATTTGGCATGCTCAGCCCAATACAGAAGAAGCCTAGAATAAAAGCAAGACACAAGCAGTTTGGGCTTTGGCAAACAAAAAGAAAAAAACCAAACTCCAACAAAGCCCAACCCATGATTTGTCAGAATCAATAGCAACAAAGTTGGGCCTCGAGAAAGAAGTAAAAGGAAATATCAGCCCATAAATCTCAGACCCACGTAAGAACTGTTTCTCTGAATTTGCAAAAGTCAACATTTTCAACTAGGGTTAACAAAAGCAGACGGCTAGGAAAAGACGTTTTTGAATCTCTACCATCAGAAATCCCTTTTTGTATTTAGGGATATTGATTTTACTCCAGAGAAGGGCACTGTTCTCAAAAGATAAACAATCTGCATTTTTTGAGAGAGAAGCAGGGAGTTGTTCAGATCAGAAAGGCAAACTAAACATTACGATTTTCGAACTCTCACAAAGGGCAGTTGGGATTAGAAAGGGATTAGGTTCTCTTTCAAAAAACAGAGAAGTGATTTGCCTTGAAAGAACTGACTATTGAGAGCTTGACTGCCAAAATTAGATAAAATCCCCTTTTTCTTATGTTTAAAATTAAAGAGATCTTTTTTGGAGAAATTTGCCGCCCATTATTAGAAGAATTACTCGACTCCAGAAAACATTTCCTATAAATAGAAGAGAGGGTAAATAGGTTCAAGGACAATCAATTCATCAATCAAACAAACAACTCAAAATCAACCAAAAGCTCACTTGAGCCCCAAAAAAAACCAACCTTAGATCAAAATTCCCAAAGTTCAGACTTAGACAAATAAGTCATTCAAAACGAGATCTCTCTCGTTACAATTTGGTTCAGCAAAAGCCAAGGCAAGCAGAGTTTGAGTTTTTTCCAAACATGAAAACCTCAACAAATCTCACAGTGCAGTCTCTAGCTCACTAAGTTCTCAAGAACAGCCACTTCTGCCCATTCAGACTGAAGAAGCCGCAGTTCTGCCCGCTCAAAAGCCTCCCAAAGCTTGAAGTAGATTAAAGCTTGCCAAAATTGAACTTTGGTATCGATTTATAGCTGAAGCTTAGCATTTGAAGTTGTTAACAACTCAGTCCAACCCAGACATATCCAGTTCAGCCCGGATCAGGGTCTCCTATCCAGGCAGAAATGGAGTTCCAGTTATCTATTTGTCTTTCTAGTGTTGATATGTGTATTTATAATTTTGTAAAGGGCAATTCTGCCTAAAACAGTCCAATTTCTATCAACTATTATGGCCAAAACAACTGTTTTTATACTGAGATAAATTGTGAAAGTCCTCACCAGTCTAAGGCAAGAAAAGAACTTACTTGAGAGATATTCCTCACCCAAATTCACAATCGTTTGTTTTAGAAATCAGTAACTTGAGGCGCAAGTTATCTATTCTAGAAGAAGTCTGCTAGAATCTTCATTGCTAGCAGTGGCACGTCATACACCAAAGAAAGCTGACTTGTTGACCAATCAATGGTTTCCAAAATGGGTGAACACATATTAGTTAAATATATCACTAGGTGTAGACTAAAATATTAAAAGGGTTTTGTTAATAAATATTTGGGCCAGACTTTTTAAAAAGACCTACAAGTTATTAATAAACATTTGGGCCATACTTATACGTGGCCCAGACTTTTTGGAAAACCCTACAACTAGTGAAGCGGTGAGTTTCAACTAAAATGAGGCATAAGCTAGGGCAAATTGGCGTGAGAAATAACTAACGCACAAATTAAACCCTATAAATTATGCAATCGTAGTACGCGAAAGTAGGGATCGTTCTATTTCGGGGATTAGGAGGGATGCTAATCAACACAAATTAAACTTATTAAATTGAAAACTAAGTTAAGGGAACAATGATTGGGGGGAGGTTTGACGATTTAGACTAAAGAAAAACTGACAGCAGCAAACAACTAAGTTGTGAATGAAATATGGATTAAGGGATAGCTAGAGGATTCTTCTCCACACATGGAACATATGCACACAAATCGATCTCCAGTTACTCTTTCTATAAAGTATGAATGATAAAGCCCCAAATTAATTGTGAATGCAC